GGATCTTATGCACATTCTATAGTAATTGAATGCTACGGACAGCTTGAACAAGATCTGTGAAAGTGCTTAAAATTAAAATGAAAAATTAAGAACTTTAGAAGCATTTATTTTTTTTCTTCATCTACTAGTATCATCAGGATTTACAATTACAGTACCTAATATAGCACTGTTTAAGGCAGCACAGATTGATTCTCGTTGCACCGGGTCTAGCTGGTATCCTACCGGACTGTTCCATGGATCAGAGTACGCCAACAAACTAAAGGCATTCTTAAAATAACACAAAACACACTGTTTAATATGAGAGAAACACTGTTTAATATTCTTCATCATTATGAAAATGTAAGTTTATGCGAGAATTTCAAACAAATTTGATTTACTGGCACTGGGTATGGGGGAAACTGTTTCAATACCATGCTCTTAGATAATGTACCCCACAGGTCCTAAATGATTACATATCCATTGTTTAAGATTCAACACGGTGATTCTTACAGATATTTATACAGATAAACTTTTGTTACCTGTAGTGATTTGTTGTTGCTCTCACTCTTCCCGTACTCCCGTTTTAGCCTCTGGTTCATGGACTGCAGTTCTCTCCCAAACAACAGCATCTTCTCAATGGCTGCCTGAGATCCTCCACACAACTGCCGTTTACCTGAGGGGGCATCCACATCTATTGACACAAAAGACATCAATGTAGTAGAGATATAGAGATATGAATTTCTACAGTTAACAAAAGTTCAATATCTGAAGAAACCAGTTTTCAAAGAAGACTTTCCTCCCCCATTCAAAACTAAATGTAATGAATATTTATTATTTTTTTAATTTAACAAATTCAATACTAGATTTTTAACATTGCAAATGCAGTTATCTGTATTTCTTTTGTTTATTCATAAACAGTCATTTCAAATAATACAGAAAATATAAATACATGTATGTACTTAAATTATTCTTTCAGCCCTTTTCTATATACATGCCCAATTGCCCATTTAAAGTGCTTAATATGAATAATAACCCTTTTAATTTATTTATTTATTAATTTTTGACAAGTCTTTTTAAAAGTGTATTCATATGGATACATGTGTCATGGGATTGTTTATATCCTGTGATGACACAAGCAAGAAAGGACCTTAATTTCCCCGTAGCAAAACTGTGCAATTGGTCATTTCAATTGTTGTTTAAGGTCAGACGAGACGTTCCTCAAAATTTGTCTTGTATATCTTCGTAATGTATGAAAAATATTCAAAATTTTAATAACATTCTAATTTCTAAACCAGTTTCTAAACGTTTTTAAAATATCCAAACACTCTTGAAAATAACTGAAATTAGAAAATTATTTTTCTTCCCCAAAGGATTATATAAGAAAAACTACCGCTGATATCTTGCAGAAATGCCTGGTAAGGTACCTCAACTTTTTGTGAGTAAACATGTTTAAGTAGCAATTACTTCAATGACAAACTCTAAGAAAAATTTATCTATTATTAAGGACATCTCGTCTGTCCTTAAAAATCACTTAAATCTTTACAAAGATCACAAATGATTAACCCCCTACCAATGGTGGTTGTCTAAATGAAATTGCAGGTCCCATGACTTTTTATTTTTTCATTTGTTTACTTCAGTCTAACATTTACAAGTATTTGCATGGCATCAAAACATTTGATGCCTAGTTAATCTCTCTTTTGATCTCAGTCAGACGAATTATGGATATAGCGAAGTAATTTTATAGGTCCCTGTGACTTCATTATAACCGAGTTTTACTGTACATGTTCACATGTTCAAAAAAAGTTCAATGCAAATGCAACAGAGATTGAGGGGTCACAAATGACACCTCATATAATGTTGTGAACAATGGTTGCAACTAGCAGAGCCAGCTTTATATATGTAGAGGAAAAATGTTAGGCAAGTCTATCTCCAGATAATTATCTAAACATTTCTATGGGAAAATTCTTACACACATTGGAGGGAAAACATAGAAGTTTTAACTGGAAATCTGAATATTTTTAATCTTTCTATGACAGGATTTGTTTTAATGTAAAATGTTTTTATTTTGCATCCTTCAATGTCTTACTGTATGACATTATGTGTACTTTAAAACTGGGCTTCATGTTTTAGTGGCTTTGGGGTGGACGATGATGTGCTAATTCATGAAAACCGCTAACAAATCATTTATAAATTCAATATATAGCACAGACCTGTGTAGCGCTGATTCTTTATTATGCAGACAATTACACCTAGTGTCCGTGACTGCGCTTAATTTTGAATATACCAATTTATGTACACATACAGGATTAGTTAAAATCCATTATCAAGACAACATAATAAAACAATTATTGACTCTTTCAGCTTAGCCTTGGTCAATATTAATATTTTTCTGGGGAATATCAAGCAATATCAGGCCTTTCAAAATCTGCCGGTACCCGGTACTTTTACCCGGTTGGATTCATTCATGGTACCGGCCAAAATATTCAGTGGAAACAAAAAATCGCGTGAAAATACGATAGGCCCCTACCACGTTTTACAAAAGTTGTGGTTAATTCTTAGTCCGTAATGGTATCTAATAACGTTTTTGATTGGTTAGTAAAGAAGATCATTAAAGCGTTTGAATAAATGAAACAAAAGAGATTGTGTAACGCGTCTTATAGATCTTGTCGAAAACGAAAGTAGATTTCGATATCAAATGCCACCGTCACTGATTTTGACAACAGCTAATGACTAGGAATATATTTTAAATAAATACGGCCAAAGAAAATAAAAAATAGGAATCCAGGTGTCAGAAATGAAAGTGTCAATTTAAAGCCATGGTAATGAGTTTCACAAAAAAATTTAAGATACAAGAAACTAGACCACGGAGAGTCTTCAACACAATTGACCGATAGAGAGACGGACATGGACAGTAGTCGAGTAGATAGTTCTTTGACCACCTCTGTACGTTTTAATAGCCTCAACTCTTCAAATTTAAGTGTCAAAATCCGCAGCTGACGATATAAATTACTCACAGTCTTGAATATCTGCAACTTTCTGATGAAACAAAAGGACATAAAACAGAAACTATTTCTTTTGCCACACATTTAATTCTTTGATTCAGCAGTTCTCTAGTGGTCAAGAGAATGACGTTGCGGACGTTTACTTTCTTCCCAATATTGTAACCATATCCAGTAAAGTGAGGGAGTCATATCTAAATTTTTTTTCATCTCCAGTCTTGATGTCATCTTTGTCTAATTTACACATGTATATTATTTTATATGTACATGTACCAGTGCATGAAAAATATGCTGAATTTATTGGTAGATGCTATGCATCATGCAGTGCTTCTAAATTTTTTTTAAAATCTGCACTTTACTGTAGAACAGAAATGAATTTAATTTAATGCAAATACAATTTCATTTCTCTTTTATTAAATTTAAATAAATTTTGAATTTCCACTTCCTTTCGTGACTCAATAATTTTTTTTATATTTAAAACATAACACTGACAACTCAAACCTTGCAAATTTTTTTTGAACACATTTATATAAACAAATATATAGAACGTAGAAGTTTTACCTAAATCTTATTCTTACTCTGCTCAAATAACTAATTTTTTCTATGAAATTCCACCCATCCAGTGCTAAACTTCACATGTAATGTGTATTGACCAAACATAACACTGATAGCAGTATACTTCTATGTGTCTAGAAACCAGGAAATGCTGTCTGGTGGCTTCTAAATTTCAAAATTTTTCCGGGGGGGCATGCCCCCGGACCCCCCTAGCAGGCTTACGCCTTCGGCGTTCGCCAAGTGGTACCTCCTATTTTTGATAAAGTACCACCTGGTTCAAATCTTTTTGAAAGCCCTGTAATATTCACCTCTGAAAGAGGCCATAATTATTCCCTCACAACGGAGTTGGAGGGGATATAGTAATGCAGCTGTGTGTATTTGTATGTGGGTGAGTTAATTCTGTGCGAAACGGAAGTGACATAATCTGCATCAGGATCGATGTTGAATGCTCCAGCTTTTGGTGCCCTTGTTGTTTCTTGAAATTATATCATTTTTATAGTTTTCATACATTTAAGGAATAAAGCTTATTTCAACTTTTGTTATACCATATGACATAACTTGGGGCAGTTTATGCTTTATAAACCGCGAAGCAGTTTATAAACAAGAGGCCCACGGGCCTTATAGGTCACCTGAGCATTATGCAACAACTTTCCAGTTATTGAATTTGATTCATGTTTTAACTTAAGCCAGATGATATATGGCATTCACAATTTTGAAAGAGGCACCATTGATATCATAACAGTACACTTAGCAGTTGCTTAGCTTGGTAACTGAATACCCATACGCAAAATGCATTCCAACTAATCAGTAATATTCAGCAATAATCAGTAGTGCCCCTAACACTGTGACATAAACCCCTGACCCTAGGTCCACACATTGCACAAATTTTAAAAAGGCACTCTTAAAATTGCCTATCAAAAAATAAATAAATGTTTTATAAATACAAAGGAGCAGATTTCAAACAATTCATTTTCAGTATATAAGTAGAGCCTCCCCCCCTCCCCCACCCCTGACCCAGGGTCCTTGAAATTCACAATTCTGCAAGATTAGGGCCCTTGTTCATCATGACTTTATAGGTAGTTCATCTGCTTCATACCCAGAGACAGAGAAGAAAATTTTCAAAGATTTAATGTATTTTCACTATATAATCAATAGGGCCCCACCCTAACATCAGAACCCCTGACCCTGGGGCCCTAAAATTCATAATTTTAGAAGAGGCATTCTTGCTCATCATAACTATGTACTTAGTTAGTTTATTTAATTCCTAGGAGCAGAGAAGAAGATTTTCAAAGAATTCACGTATTTTCAATATATAATCAAACTAGCCCTGCCTTAACACCAGAACCCCTGACACTGGGACCATAAAATTCACAATTTAGGTAAAAGCACTCTTGCTCATCATAGCTATACACTTAGTTAGTTTATTTAATACCTAAGAGCAGAGAAGAAGATTTTCAAAGAATTCATGTATTTTTACTATATAATCTATAGAGCCCCCCCCCTCCTCAACACCAGAACCCCTGACCCTGGGACCATAAAATTTACAATTTTGGTTGAGGCACTCATACTCATCATAACTATGTACTTAGTTAGTTTATTTAATACCTAGGAGCAGAGAAGAAGATTTTCAAAGAATTCATGTATTTTCAATATATAATCAATAGAGCCCCCCCCCCCCACCCTACACACACCAGAACCCTTGACCCTGGGGCCATAAAATTCATAATTTTGGTAAAAGCACTCTTGCTCAACATAACTATACACTTAGTTAGTTTATTTAATACCTAGGAGCAGAGAAGAAGATTTTCAAAGAATTCATGTATTTTTACTATATAATCTATAGACAGTCAGGGGCATAACTCAAACAAGTTATAAAAAAAATAACTTAAATAAGTTATTTTACATTATTTTACACACACAAATTTATTTTTAAAAATAACTTAAATAAGTTATTTTTATATCCTGCTTGGACATTGATTTCTTAGAAATTTTGTATTTCCTGCCAATTTGCATTGCATTTTGGGATTCCATTATGTAATACTAGATGGAGTTCACCGACTCCAATGGAGAATTGGTGAGGAGGTGGAGATAAACAGCATTTTACTCCTTATTTTGTGGTTTTATCCACATGGTGTATATATCCAATTTTTATCATTAAATAAAAAAAATTCCCCACTTTTCCCAAGACTTTCAACACTTTTCTAGCATTGAGCAAGGTTTAAATTTAATCAAACAATTATTTTTGTCTTGGTGCACGAGCAAAATCCTTTGGTGCACGGGGTGTGAAGTTAGGGAAGAATGACACAAAATAACTTAAACAAGTTATTAATTTATTGAAGCTATTTTGGGAAAATAACGTGTTTGAGTTATTAAGGCTGGGAAAAAGTAGGTCATAGCAAAGAGAAGTAACTCACTGAGACAAAAAAATAACTCATTTGAGTTATTTTTGAAGATAACTTGTTTAAGTTATGCCCCTGACTGATAGAGCCCCGCCCTAACACCAGAACCCCTGACCCTGGGACCATAAAATTCACAATTTTTGTTGAGGCACTCTTGCTCATCATAACTATGCACTTAGTTAGTTTATTTAATACCTAGGAGCAGAGAAGAAGATTTTCAAAGAATTCATGTATTTTCACTTTATAATCAATAGAGCCCCCCCCCCCCAACACCAGAATCCTTGACCCTGGGGCCATAAAATTCACAATTTTGGCTGAGACACTCTTGCTCATCATAACTATGTACTTGGTTAGTTTATTTAATACCCAGGAGCAGAGAATAAGATTTTCAAAGAATTCATGTATTTTCACTATATATAATCAATAGAGCCCCACCCTAACACCAGAACCCCTGACCCTGGGGCCATAAATTTCACATTTTTGGTAGAGGCACTCTTGCTCATCATAACTATGTACTTAGTTGGTTTATTTAATACCCAGGAGCAGAGAAGAAGATTTTCAAAGAAATAATGCATTTTCACTATATACTTATTTAGCCCCGCCCTAGCATTAGAACCCCTGACCCCAGGGCCATGAATTTCACAATTTTGGTAGAGAACTCATTGCTGATTACAATCATGCAAACAGTTTGACTGCTTGATGTCCAGGAGTAAAGAAGAAGATTTTTAAAGATTGCATTAATTTTAGTGGTTTTGGCCCCACCCCTCAGGCCCCAGGGGGGCAGGGATCATGAAATTCATAAGTTTTGTTCCCCTTTAGCCATAAATGCTTTGTGCTAAATTTGGTTGAAATTGGTGCAGTGGTTGCAGAGAAGAAGCTGAAAATGTTCAAATGTTAACACACGATGGACGACGGACGACGACGGACGAAAACGGATAGCAATAGGTCACCTGAGTTTACTCAGGTGACCTAAAAAGCGTTAACTGCCCCAAGTTATGTTATATCATATAACATAAGTTGAAATAAGCTTCATTCCTTATAATTTAATTTCAGTGCAGACAATGAGACAATTTTTCCTCCAGTAAAAGGCTTCAAATTTAGCATATTTTAAAAGTAATGTCAAGTGGAGTAATACATTTTTGACGTAACTCATTGTGACGTAGGCAAGTTATGTTATAGAAAATGGATCAAATCTTTTATCCAATCAAATGACGTGTTACAACTGAAATTAAATTATTCCTTTTGAAAATGTGACACTGAGATCCAAAAGGTGAACTTATCCACGTTTTAAGGCCATGGAGCCAAATTTGGCACAAATGGCAGCATCCCAACCAAACCTTTTCAAGTTAATGCATGGAAACCAACAAGAGAAAGATGACCATAAATGGGTAACCCTACATCCCCAAACCCTTTGAAATGGGAGGATATAATTACCAGATGGTGTTTCATCTTCTATTTACAAACCAAATCAACACCTTAGTCACCAATACTTTCAATGCTGTTGCAAAAGAATTAATCAAGACGAAAATTGCTTGAATAGACATATAGTACATCCATCCTTCTTCAAAATTTAATGAGCTACTGCATCTTGTTTACATACCCATCTCCTCTGATTTGCATGTGTGATTATTTCCGTTCATGTAAGCTCCGTCTGAGTTTCCATTTGTGAATGTTTTAGTCTCTGGAACGAGTCCGTCCATCATTTCCACATCATCGTCCTCAATCATGTGACACTCTGATCCATTCATTGATATATTCGCCCGATTCATTTGTTCCTCGGATATTGTCTTTAAATCACCCATGTTCTGATTGTTACTTTGTGACACCTGTAAGTTTTGACTTGTTTGTGAAGATGAACCTGAACTATGACCCTTGACACCTATAGGTCGGTTAGGACTATTGCCACGGGATCCTACTGGAGTGTTTTTCTGTGAATATGAATTTGTGTGGTGGACAGGGCTCATGTTGGGACTGGAACGGTTAGATCCACTCCCGTGTCGTGATTTGGGGCTGCGTATTGCTGGGCCCCTCACCTCAGTGTCTGTTCCGTTCACCATCTCAATGAACTGTCTACATTTGAGCATAAACAATAGATTGAGGTTCCTCTCCAATAAACCTGGATACAACTGTTGTGTGGTCTCTATTGCTTCACCCATACGACCTGCTAGTACCAACTTCTGTATTCCTACAATTAAAACACCAATATTTTACACTGGAATTTAATATTCCTATAATCAAAATACCACATACTACATACTTACGAGCAGTTTTGCATTCCTACCTTCAAAACACCATTCTTAACAAGCAATTCCCAAAATATCTTATCTTAATTAGTCTTGCTGTTGGTTTTACTAATATATTGAACTCTTAAGAAACATTCATGTACAGGAATCACACTTAAATTTAACTGAAACCTTGGATGTCTAAATTAATACAACAGCCCCTAAAAATCTTCCCAAAAAGACTTTACTCATTGGCAAGATGTTTAGAAATCTTACTTTGTCTGTTTTTGATGGATGACATGTCCTCTTCTATGGACTGTCCTGTTGATCGTGAGAATGCCTCAGCTGTACCACAGTAACCATGGTGTACAAGATATGTAGATACAATCCTACAAAGCAAAATAAAAGCCTCTGGTTCAATGTGGTCAAAAAATGAGATTCATTAGTTTAACATTACTTTCAAAAAGGTAAATAAATACACCATATTTATTGTATAGGTAGGGGCTGACTCAACACTGCTCAATATGACTTTTCAAATTTTAGTCACAGAAGAACACTTTCCCTAATAAACTATAGAAAACAGTTGTTTACAGCAAACTGCATCAAATGGACAGAAATTTGTTTCTTTCTGATAATGTTATCAATTTGCCCCCCCCCCCCCACCAACCCCTGATTTAATTGTACCGGTAAGTATGCATTTTCCACACTGTCTTTGATTGTACCATGCTTATGAAGTTTCACAGTTCCTAATTATACCCTCTGTCATACATACTGTTGTAAGGCTGTCTGCCATTCCCCCTTTTTGTCATTAACAGGGAACCTCTCTATAGTCAGTTTGGTCTTCATGTGCCACTCCTGAAATACAGAAATTCAACATATTAACTTGTTTCTTAATGAATAAAGAGCCGCGCCACAGCATGATACGCCCGTCAAAAAATTACAATTTTCTTGAACAGTTTAGGTGCAAGAAAATCACATCAACCTTGATTCTAAGATTTCGATGATTTTTCCATTCCTTAAAATATTTATCCATCCCCTGTGATGTAGGCATCAATTATAATAAATATTACATCACTGATAGATTTCTGTGCTGGTTGTGTTAGACCTTGTCAAATGCCCATCATCAAATTAGTCTTAACAACTTAATCTATACCAAATTAATTTTGAAAAGAAAAGGCTGGCCATCAAATGACATACATTATAAACTGACCAGCAGTTCTTCTGTCTAATCCCCAAAGGGCACAGATAAGGTCACTGCTTAATTAGAGCGACTGAGACAGCTAGCCTTCCTACACTGAACTCATTAATTAATCTTTAACTGGATGCTTGTCTACTCATTACTACCAAGAGATGAATGGGTCTGCACTATCTACTATAAATTTAATAAAATACTCAAAGATTTTTTTTTTTGGTTGAGATTTAATGTCCGACAGGTTTTAATATGTAATTATATGGACATACTGATTCCACCCCACCCCAAAAAATTAGTTTTTAAATTAATAATATTACATAATATCAGATTAGTCTATTATGCAATATCAAATTAGTTTTAATTACTTTTCATCAAATTCATTTTAAAACTTAAGCTACATGTAGTCAACAAGAGCTATTTTCAATCAAACAGGCTAAAGGCCGGTTTACACTATGCATCTTGACACATGCATCTAAACTCATGCTTCAATTTTGCCACATGCATCTTCTTATTTACACTATGTGTCTTGATGCATGCATCTTTAGAATACTTTGTAAAGATGAAATTTCTCTACTTAAAAAAATAACAATACCTTCAAATTTCATTTCTGGATTTATTTTAGCTGAACAAATCATTCTTAATTTCCTTTTTATGATAATTCTTGGAAGATATAATTTATATTTATTCCAAAAGAAAAACTCCTCTACATTATAATAATCAAATAAGTTTTTCTAATTGTAGTTTTAATCAGTATTCTCTGTTTTTTGTGTATCTTGGGAAGCTATTTTTGAAACTACAGTGCCCACTGTCCAATCCGACAACTGTGCAATCCGGCACACTGGCACTTCCGACGCAAATCTTTATTCCCAAAAAAATCTTTATATAACTTATATAGAAAAATACTTTACAATCCGACCACTGTACATTCCGAATTCCGACACCTCTTTGTAAACACAGCCTATTAATTGCATTGCAGTTTCACCTGTGTTATCCGACATAATTACACGGCTGGTTAAACCCCAGGTAGGTATATCATAATTAGCCGCTGGCCAATTACGGGTCCCAGCTGTGATTTTAAAGTCCCGTTTGGTCAATTGGTCAGCTGAGAATGTAGTCAGTGATTCATGTTGAAGTTTGCAGGTGTTTTGTTTATGTACAAAATAATTGATTAAAACTCAAATTAAAAAAAGACAAATCCATTTTCTTTGTTGGTATTATTCTTACACGAAAATGGCGTCAACGCCTCAGAAAAGAAAACTGGTATGTGAAATGTCGCCTTCTCCTAAAAGGAAAAGAATTGATTTGGGATTGGGAAAAAAAATTGATTTAATAAAAAAATCAGAGTCGTTTCCAAAACCAACACAAGAACAGCTTGCGAAAGAATTCGGAGTTGGACGTACCACAGTATCGGACATTTTGAAACGTAAGACTTTTTTAATGGAACAATATGAAGGAAACATTTCATCCAAGAGAAAACGATTTACATCTGGGTCAAAGTTTTTTGAATTAAATGAATTGGTGTTCAAATGGTTTGGACAAGCTAGGGCAAAAAATATACCGCTAAGTGGCCCGTTAATCCAGGCAAAGGCTATTGAATTCGCCGCCGAGCTTGGGCTGGATGAATTCAAAGCATCTAACGGTTGGCTCGAGAGTTGGAAAAATAAATACTCTATAGGTTTTTTTAAAATCTGTGGTGAAAGTGCAAGTGTCAATATTGAGTGTGTTAAGGAATATCAGTCTAGAATTCCGGATCTCGTGCGTGGTTATTTAGCTCAAAATATTTTCAACTGTGATAAAACCGGTTTATTTTTCAGAGCGATGCCTGATAAAACATTTGCCGAAAAACGGAAAGAATGCAAGGGGGGTAAATTAGCTAAAGAAAGAGTAACAGTCATGATGTGTTGTAGTTGTACTGGAGAAAAACTAAAACCGTTAGTTATTGGTAAAGCCCGCAAGCCCCGTTGTTTTGGCAGTCTTGACCCGTCAAAACTTCCCGTTATTTGGCGCTCAAACAAAAAATCATGGATGACCGGGGAAACATTTAAGGACTGGATATTCGGTGTAAATAAAGAAATGAAAAGACAAAACAGAAAAATTCTTCTTTTTCTGGATAATGCCACATCTCACCCACATGATTTAAAATTAAGCAATATAACTCTGAAATATTTTCCACCGAATATGACATCCAAGTTACAACCTCTTGATCTGGGGATCATACGTGCGTTTAAGGCTCGTTATAGGAAACGTATGATGGGACATCTCTTATCAAAAATGGACACGTGTAAAACTGCTGCAGAATTGACAAGAAATGTCAGTGTTCTTGATGCAATTCACTGGATCAACAAGGCATGGGATGAGACAAAACAAACCACAATTGAAAGTTGTGTCCGTGACGCAGGTTTCCCGGTTGAAACTACCGAATCTTTATCATCTGAGATTTCTGACGATGACGACGACGATGATCTACCTTTAAGCATCTTAAAAACGAAATATGAAATGGCAGACGAAAACAACTTGGACATAATAACAGACACGGAAAATGACTTGGAAACAGAAGAGACGTATGATGGAGACTGTGAAACAACGATATTGTCTGAATATAAAAACGACAATACGAAGAATACAAGCAGTGATTCTGAAGATTCCGGTGATGAAATTATTCAGAGTGATCTGACCTATAACAATGTTCTTGACATGCTCAGAGAAATGGGCAAATTTGCAATTGCTAAGGACGCCCGATATTTCGAAAGCATCCAGTATCTTACAACTCTGACGGAAGAGACTTTAATTAAACAGCGACTTAACAAAAAACAGACAACAATTGACACTTTTTTCACCAAACCTCAGGAACTGTAACTATACATAGTATTGTTTATTGCCTGAAACTGTAAAATAGAAATGCACCATGTCATTTAATTATTTATTGAAATAAAATCACATCTTCATGCGTAAATCTTTTATATGAAATAAATATGGAGGCCATAATCAAAGATGTACCTTTTACTGATAATGTTCGATCTAATGCCATACTTGACAATGTGACAGAAATAGTCAACACTGAGTAATCCGACACACTGTTTAATCCGACATAAATTTAATTTCCCATGGCATGTCGGATAAGACAGGTTTCACTGTATATGAAAAAAATAAGGCTGATGATTCAATATCAACTCTGACCTTTCGTTTCATTGGTCAGTTCCATGCATCTTGAAGCACGGAATAGAACAAGTTCTATTCCACCGTTCAAGATGCAACACCCATTTAATTTGAAACAAGGGGCTATTACACTGTGAATCTTGACACATGCATCCAAGATGCATGTGTCAAGATGCATAGTGTAAACCGGCCTTTACCCATTTGCCCAATACTCAAGGGATATATATAACACCAATGCTAGCTCCTCGCACTCAAAACCCATTAATTTCTCTCTAATTTGACATGCAATTTTCTGTTATCAAAATTCTTCTTGACCAGTGCTTGATAATTACACTCATGGGAGAGGCAGGATTTCTCTGACATACATTATATTTGTTATAGATTGTTGTCAAGTATATGCTTAAAAAAAATAAGTATTTTCTTGATTTAACACTTTTTTAATAAGAACAGTGCAATACTCTTACATTATTTGGGATGTGTAAATGAATAGTAAAAAGACACATTTTTTAAAAAAAAAATTCACTTAAATTAAAGGTCACAGTGACCTTGAAATAGGTCGCGACACACCTTCTACCTAAGATGCATAAACTGGCCAAGTTTGATGATTGTAGGTCTTATGGTTTTCTAGTTATGGGCCGGAAAGGATTTTTCCATATTTGGTTATAACTTCTTAAATAAAGGTCAGAGCGACCTACTTTTTGTGCGCGACACACCTTCTACCCAAGATGCATCAGATGACAAAGTTTGATAATTCTAGGCCTAGTAGTATTAAAGTTATGAGCCGGAAACGAAAAAGCTAACAGACAGACGGACGGACACGAAGCCTATAACATAATACGTCCCGTCTTAAGACGGGCGTATAAAAATTGGTTCAGTATCTGTACTTTTTACAGGATAAAATTTATATAGTAAGTGAGTACAAAGTTGTTCACGCCATAATTAAAATATTGTTGGTTTGGCGTTGCCGACTCAGTCTTAATAGGTTTGGGTCAGTAGGTAGGGGAAATATTTTTTTTTTTAATTTTAGAAATGTTATTAGTATTCGAGCGTCATGGGTTTCTGATTGTTTTACAACAACTGCTGTTCGAATTGATTCCTAATTGTTATTTATTTTCAAACCCTATTAGTTTTAAACCTTTAATATGTACATGGTATAAAAAATCTCTGACACTGAATTGGCATCAAGTCGCTTTCATATGCACGAATCCAAGCATGACTGCTAGATTCATCCAGCAAATCAGTGACAGTTAATCAGACATGACATCGTTCCTTGAAGTTTCTATTTGAAACTGGTATTACTGATTCGATTCGTCAGTATATTTTTGCCATTTTAAGACACACATATACCGCGGAGAGTCTTGGAATCAACTTCTGTTATACCGAGTTTATATTACCGCTTTCCACAGCCACGCCCAGGGGCACTGGAAGTTAATGTAAATATTTTTATACATGCACATACTATATATTTACATTAACTTCCAGTGCCCGTGGCCATGCCTTGGATTTGTGATACACAATATCAACATCACATAGACGCTTATAAATGAAAACTGATCGATCAATTAAGTGTTTATATGATTCTTTCTTATTTTGTATATTACTCAAATGTTCAGACACCCAAATCCGGATAAATATGACCCAAAAAAATTATGATACGCATAAGTTGAAAAAATTTCTTTAAACTGCACGGATTTACCTGAGTCGGACGGCAACGCCAAACAAAGCTAATTTTATTTTTGTCCTCAGTTTCAGTTTTAAATTATCAATTCATTGATTGCAAAGAATTTTTTTTTTTCGTTTTGCAATTAAAGAGTAGGCAGATTTATCCATCCTCTGGCTACCTGAATTACTGTAGATCACTAAATTTTCGCGACACCTTATTTTCGCGAGATAGTCATCAACTCTTTATAAGCAAGACATAATTTTCACGAATTACTAATATTTATCTATATGATTTTAAGGAATACTATTATTCGCGAGAATGAAATTTTCGCGTGCTCACTGTCTCGCGTAATTACGCGAAAATAAAGTTCTCGCGAATAAGAAGTGATTTACAGTACCAAAACCAATTTATACTGTTTAACCCTTCAGAGGTATGTACCTTCATGTAGTCTTCTATGTCAAATACAAAGGGGGTCTGTCCAAAGTTGGCCTCCACCACTTCCCCTGGAGTCTGGAGGCCCACAGTGGGGTAGAGATTTGACTGAAAAAATAAAATAAATAAATATTTAAAAAAACACTTGAACAGCAAAGCATGACTATGAGCGATTCAACTTTCTTCAAAATCCTAAATTAGTATTTGTCCTTCTGTATTAATTTGATATGGATTTGTTTGTGTTGGAAAGGGAACATTTTTTAAAAATTATTTTTTTATGATATATGGTTGGTCCAAAGAGAACTGAATGAAAAACAAAATCTATATATTTACTGTATTCTGGTGAATCCCCAAAATGTAAACAAATGGTTAATATCAAATTTGATTTGTTGCAGTGAAACTTTAAATATTCAAAATGCTTTGCTAAAACTGGTAAAATTTGAATTTCTGGTTACAAATACTGAAGGAAAACACTTTACCGGTAAATCTGTGAATGCAACACCTGAAAGAAGAAAAAAGTTCATTACTAATACAAGTTATTTTAATTTGGAACACATTTCGGTTATTGCATAAAGGGAAAATTTTGCCCACATTTTATTCAAATTCAAATAACACAGCATAATTTCTTAAACAGAACTATGACAAGGCAAATTTAAAAGCGAGCAATATTGTTTGCAAGTTCAAAAGGCAAAAATAGCATATGGCAAAAATAACCCAGTATACGGTATACATGTACTCTTATTTTTTTCTCAGATTCTGAATAACTTATACAAACCTAGATTGATTCCGTTTTTTGTGTAGAAACAGGAGTTGTCGATGAGGTTGACACAACAGCCTATCACATCTCCTGTTGTAAATGTCGGACCGTACGGCTGACCGGTGCCAGAGGAACAGAACGAATGACCGTCATCTCCATGGTAACCATAGGAATGCTTATCCCACCCTACAAATAAGATATTTTCTAATATTTGTTCATTTTTTTCTTTCACTTGTTGAAATGCTATTAATAAGTAATGTTTGATCTAGCTGCAATGAACACTTTTTGTATGTTTACTTAGCTAAGAAGAAAAAGTTCATGAAAATCTACACCTATCATCCTATCCCTTAATTATCAGGATGAAATTATTTTTCAAGGCCAAGGCTTAACCTTCCTTGGTAATAACCTGTCTTACTCTGGTTACTCATTGATACATATCATACCAATTCAAATATGAAATGACAATCCTGGAGAAAATGATTCAGAGGTAACAGGAAATACATGTAGCTATGTGAACAGAAGAGTAACTACAAATTCTTGTGGTTTCTCAGCATTGAATTAACATTACCCAAATACATTCATTCAAATATACTGTGCAGACTTCAATCAAGAAATTTCAAAGATATTTCAAAAGTAAACATAATACACTGCAATTTAATTAAATGCTCTTGGCCTTAAACTTGTTAAAATGATAATTGACACATGCATTCACACAAAAGAAACTAAATCTATATAGTTATTGATAGCATTCATTATTTTTGTGAAATTAAACTTACTTTGATTTTATACATTTACAGACAACAGAATCTGGATTATTTAATTGGATAACAGTCTGATAACTTATTCTTATCTTACCCGGTAATCTATTCATATTGACTCCTTGTGCAGAGAGACCTATCCCCATATATCTGTAAGGAAATATAAATACATGTACATTTAAAAACAAATCCTGAGCAAACAATGATGATACTCAAAGAGAATGTTTTCCATTGACAACTTTTATAGAAATTACACATGACAACAAGAAATTTGATTCAGAGTTAATTAATATTTATTTGAAGTAAAAATGGAGAAAATCTATTGTTTTTACAGATAAATAGATCATAATTCATCAGCTGATTCATATACCTTGCCTGATATTATGAAAGGCTCTTAATTGTTAGTAAATATTTTCTTTAACTGTCCATGTGTACAGGCTTATTGTGAATTGACTCATTAGGTGGAGCATGCACAATGCTTCATAATTACAAAGAATGATGCCCTTCTCTAATTTACTTTAACATTCATGACTGATTTTTTATCAATATTGAATTTCCCGAAACTCCCCTGAATCATTTGTCAATTATCCAATATGGTTGTCCTCTTTATCATTGATTTTGTATAGTGCATGTATAAAAAAATTGGTGTGTAGCTAAAT